AAGCGCCAGGAAGTTTGTTATGGGGCACCTGTGTTACTGCGCCGGGGTGAAATTGGTTAGGTGGCCCTCCCAGCGGATCCCCAGCTATTAATCAACCTGTCACAAACACAACTCTAGAAAGCGATTTCTCACAACAAGTTGATATTTTCAGGAGAAAACCAAACAAATACATAAAATGATTTTAAAACTAACTGACATTGACGAAGCAACTTTTTAGTTTGTTGGGTTGTTTTTTCTTTTAAAGAATTGACTTAACCATGGAGGGTTTTTATTTAAAACATTGAGTGAATATCCTCTATTTCAGTATTTAACCCCACAAAGATTATCTCAAATTACAACTGTGCAATGATAATAGTCAGTCAGTGTCAAATGTATGACAGGTTTTGGCCTCTCCTCCAGGAACAGTAAAAGTAAATATGGTGATACGTTTCCTTTGTCACTAGAGCAAAATAATAATTCAGAGTGAAATGAATTATTAGAACTCTTTCAGAGCTATTCCATCAGCATACTGATATTAGTATCAATTCCCTTCAATCTGAAGGACTACCACTGACCTAAGCACCTCAGAGCATTATCAATGCCATCAAGTATCACAATACAGTTCGATCCTTCTGGAGACACTAGTGTCTAGGGATGACATAACATATCCAAAATACTGCATTACCAGGTGGCTGGTCACATATTTTAAGGGAAAAAAGGAGCACTGAGGGAAAAAGGTTAAGCTCCCAGCATACCAGCACAGCCCTCACTGACAGTTTGTGCGAAAGGCAACACCAATTTGATCAGCCGTACATGGAACTTGAGCGTTCAGACTGGGGAGCAGAGGCAACGTCATGCAATGCAAACTGGTTTTCAAGTGGGCTCAAGAATATAATACACCCTGATTTCACCCTAGCTTGACAAGCATCTGTGTTCAGCATTGACCCGCCCAGTTACAAATCTACTATACGTTTTCCTTCTACTTTATTTATATTTAAAAGTAGAATGTAATGGATTTGGATTTTCCTAAGTTAGACAACAGTAAAAAACAGAGATAGAGTTCTCACATTTACAAGAGTAACACTTGAACAGAGCACTAATATGAAGAATGCTTAATATACAATCTGACTGCATTTAAATTTTTAAAAAATTTGAACCCAAATGCAAAGTAAATCCAAATTCCCCCTTTTTTAAGAGGCATCCATCATACAGGTGACACAACTTATTTTATCTGTGTAGCTAATATTCAGATGAGTTGTTTGATTTTTCCCTCAGATCTCCATTAATATACCTTGTATTTTAATCCTTTCCAAAAGCATAGGAAATCTTCAAAAGCAAACACTATTTTTGATACCAACAGCGACTCCAATCAGAGTCACAATGCCTGTAATGAATGAGTGTCTGTCTTGATTAACAAATCATTGGTGTCCTTTCCCGTTGCTTGTCATTTATTTTTCTCATCCAGGAATGATAATCAGTGTTTAACACTGCAACAGCGAATCCATACCAATGCATGAATGATAGGTAATTCACACCAGAGCTGTATGAAATCCAAGAGTTGATCCAGCTTTTATAGTATTGTGTTGGGTTTGCGTGGCAAGGTTTTGGTAGCAGGGGGCTACAGGGGTGGCTTCTGTGAGAAGCTGCTAGAAGCTTCCCCTGTGTCTGACAGAGACAATGCCAGAAGGCTCCAACACAGACCCGTCGCTGGCCAAGGCCAAGCCCATCAGCACCTCTGTGATAACATATTTAAGAA